GGAGTATCCTGTAGCCCGTCATGGGAAGAACTGTACATCTATTGAAGAGAAGATCATACTGCAAACTCAGCCCAGAAGTACAGGTGGTGAGGGCAGTCCAGCTGAGATTATACAGGAAATGGGCTACAGTAAATACATTTCATTCTCATAATGCAACAGAACTAAAAAGATTCTGCCATCGCTGTGTCACAAGCTGACAAGTTCATTTTCTTCCTTCAAGAAAAAAAAATCTGTTGGTTAGGTTAATCATCTTTTTTTTTTCTTTACTACATCTGACTGGCTCACTGCTATTTCGATCTCAGATGAAGATCAGGCTTTGCAGTTCTGAAGGCAAACCAGAGTGAAACAGGTATTTGCTCTCCTTCTACCTCTCATTCTCTTTAGTAAAGCCTGTGCTTAAACTCCCAAATGATGATTTAGTTCATGCACTTGGTGTATCTTATTTTGTATGTTTAATTCAGAAACAGGCAGCTGACAGAAAGCCTGACAGGTGGGACTACATTTTATAATGCTGTCAAATGTGCAATGTTAAAATGTAAAAGTGTGTATAATATATATATATCTTGCAACATCAAATAATTCATCAGGAATAAACAGATGAAGATAGCACTGCAATATAGTTCTACGAATGTCTATAAAGCATCCCTTATTTAAGATCCCACTGCAATGCAGGAGCAAAGTCTGTGCAGTGAGAGTCCTGAGACAAGCAGCCAGCTGCTATGCAGCCACTAGGTAGACTGCACCTTGAATGACAGGAAGTACCAGACTTGGATGTCAGCTGTCCTTGTAGATGAAGAGAATATCCTCATCTGTCCCATAACTTGTCCTGGCTTCCTCAAAGTTACTGATACTGGTGCTGCATGTTCCTGTGGGGCAAGAGCAAATTGTTAGTCAGACTCAGCCTGGAGAAGAATTTGCTCATGAAGTGCTTAGCTTGGCTTGGGAAACCTGCACCAGGAAAACAACTACTAGTAGATAGATCACTCTGAAACAGATCTCCTGGGCTTTATCCAGCAATCCTTACTTCCAGTAGCAGGTCAAAGCAAATGTCCGGTCCAGCGATGGCTGCAAGGGGGCTATATATACTTAAAACACCATATTGCTTACGGTTTTAGCTGCAGAACAACATACATAAGTTTTGCTTTGCCAAACCATATCCTTCTTAATACTCAAAGCTTCTGAAATCTGAAATGCAATGGTGATGGGACCATACAAGAGCCTATTGAAAAGTGTACTTGCAACACAGAAACCAGTCTGAAATCACTAAACTCACCAGCCGTCATTTTAAACCTGATGATGTTGCTGCCTGATTCAGACTCCTGTTATCTTAGACACTCTTAGTACTACCTTATGCATGTTCTAGAACGGGGGTGGGCAAAATACAGCCTGCAGGCCGAATCTGGCCCATGAGGCCATTCTATCTGGCCCACAGGGCCTCTAAAAAATTAAGAAAATTAACATTTATCTGCCCTTGGTTCCAGTAAAAAAAGTTCCAGTAAAAAATGACAGGAGCCAGGGGCAGTAGGACCCAGGGGAAGCCCGGCAGGCTCCTGCAACAGCAGGGCCTGCCCAGCCCCACCCCCCCAGCTGAAAGCCCCAGCAGGGACTTCTGGCCTGGGACCATGCAGCTGCACCGGCGCCATAAACTCAGCTAAGGGGAGGGCAGGGAAGGAGCCCAGGGAAAAGCTGAGCACAAGGAAAAGCGGCCCTTCCCCCGCCCCATGGTTGGCACTCCCTGCTGCAGCTGCTCACAGCCCATGCGGGGCTGTCCTGAGCAGGCACAGGCAGCCCCAGGCGGGCTACAAGCAAGTGCAGCATAGGGTGCCGGCCACAGGGCTGGCTCCAGGCTGCTTTTCCCCTCCCGGGCTCAGCACCAGCTTGTAACCTGCCCACGCAGCCAGCCTGGGGCCCTGCGCCAGCTCCACCCGTCAGGAAGGCGTGCGACAGCTGCAGCTGCAACCCCCCTGCTTGCCGCACTGGGCAGCGTTTGCCGCTGCCGCCTCTGTGCTGCCCAGCATGCGAGCTCTGGGCAGGCAGCAGCAGCAAACTGCCCAGGGGGGGAAGCGGGGGGGCTGGCTGCAGAGGCAGGTTACAAGCTGGTGCTGAGCCGGGGGGTGGGGGGGAAGCAGCCCCATAGCCGGCGCCCCGCGCTGCAGCTGCTCGCAGCCCGCCTGGGAATGCCTGTACTGCTCAGGACAGCCCTGCACAGGCTGTGTGCGGCTGCAGCAGGAAGCACCAGCCATGGGGTGGGGGAAGGGCCACTTTTCCCTGCGCTCCGCAGCAGCTCATTCCCTGCCGGCAAGCAGGGGGTCGGGGCTGCACGCTGCCCCCCTGCTTGTACCACGGGGCTTGGGGGCACTGGGAGTGAGCGGGCAGGGAGCCAGCAGGAGCACAGGGCCTGCACCAGTGTGTCCTGGGGCCAGCGCCAGCAGGGCCCAGAGCAGGGCAGCAGGGGTACAGGGTCCCAGCCAGCAGGGGTTCCATAGAGCCGGGCCAGCTCCCCACTCCCTGCTGGTGTAGCCCAGCCCGGCTCCACAGACCCCTGCCAGCCTGTGCTCCGCTATGGGCCCCACTGGTGCTGGCCCTGGGACATTGGTCCGAAGACATTGGGACACTGGTCCCAAGATGGTGACCAGGGGGCGGGGCACCTGTCAAGGGGCAGGGCTAGCCATGCAGCCCTCTGCCCAAAATAATTACCCGCCCCTGTTCTAGAAAGAGGAGAGTGAGCCTCCACCCAGAATGAAGCAAGATTTTTACTACTCACGGTCAGCGTAGGCAGGGTTGTTGTAGTAGATACTCCCTGAGGCTTTGTTGTAGCCACACAAAACAATAAAATGGCCCTGGTAGTCAGGGTTCCTGCAGAAGCACTTCTGGCCAATGGGGAGGAAGCAGCAATATTTGACGGGGCTTGAACAAAGTTCACACAGTAACAGGACTGCATTCACCAGAACAATGGCTACATGACCTTGGGACAGGTGCTTCTGTATGTCCTGGACAGTCACCGTGCTGCAGAGAGAAATTCAGACACCCACATTCACAAGCACAGCCAGGAAAGGCATCTGTATTTGTTGGACTAACTTTAGCAAGCAGGTAAAAGTGGACAGTAGCCATCTTGGTTAGTTGGTGGTATGGTTAATGGTAGGGACCTACCTAAATCGTGGTGGAAGTTCGCAGTACAACAGCAACTTTAATCTTGCTCTTTTTGCCTCTCGGCCACTGAGCAGTAAGAGGGAGGGGAGAAGAAGGGAGGGGGGACACAGCGAAAAGAGCAAGATTAAAAGGTGCTGCACCCCAAATTTCTGCCACGATTTAGGTAGGTCCCTATTTATAGGACTCAAGTACAAAATGTGTTGCTGAACTTCAAATAAAGACTCGGCTACATTTGGGGACCAACGTGGTCTCATTCAAACATCATCATCCTATCACTGCCAATGAAGTGCAGAACTGTTTTAGCTGCACTGATTTAAATGGAAGCTAAGAGTACAACTGGTGCTTAGAAGCATCATGTTTGAAAGGAGAGTAAATCATTCAACACCTGAGAAGCTACAAAAGTTATAGGAAAGTCAAGGCTGCTCTTGACTGGTACTGAACCCCCTCCCATCTACCCTGAACAACCCTAATTGCAGCTTCTCTCTGAAGAATCAAGTTTTTACCAGCTGAGGATCTAGGGATCTTGTAACTTTGTAGTCATCTTCATCTCTGCACCCTAAGCTGCATCTGCCAAGTAGGAACATACAGCTTCTTCGGTTACAGGTCTGGATTGTTTGGCTCTGGATACTTGCCAGGATTATTGTGCTAGTACTTCATGATGCCCGGTATTAGAGGGGGAAATTTGCTCATGGCCAACCAGTAATTTTGCTTGTTTTAGCTGAAACCCTTCCCTCAGGGATACAGACAGATGGTATGCTTATTCTCAGCCTGACTCTTGGATCACATCCAGATGTTCAGGCCATGTGCAAGGCCTTGCTGAATTTATGTGCCATTTAAATGTTCCCAGTGTTACACAAATGCTTGTACAGCCTTCCCCAACTCTAATGCAAGCCAAAAGCTGGAGCTTTATTTGTATGCTAGAGATGACTCAATATTTTGCTGCTCCCTTCTTCCTAGGTATAGCACTAGATGAATAGCAACAGGCACACAAACTTGATAAATTAGTTAATAAGTATGGTAAATGCACATTGAAAAAGCATATACATACAATAAGATCACAATTTCAAGTTACAAATGCCACCTTTCCTTGCTTCTTACTCATCTGTTCAGTAAACAAGAGAGAGCTAAATTCAGCCTTGCCGGAGGGGGTGCAACTCCTGACTTCTGTTTAGATGCTCATGTAGTTTCTACTCATTTTTTCCTTTGCAGTATCTCACAAGTAATTACAAGGCTTTAAGCAAATTGCATGTGCTTTTCTTCTCCCACATTTGCAAGTGCTTTCATGGAGGTTCCATCTTCTGTGATGGAAACAGGGCTACATAATACAGAACACTCTTAAGATTGAAGCTATTTGGTAACACTTTAGGGTTTCAAATAAAGATGCCTTTTGCTTGTTTCTCCATCTAGGCAGCATTAATATAGTTCTAGAAGCAATGGGTTTCACATCACACAATGTTTTCTTTCTTATGGATAGCAAAGTTACTTGAGAACAGCCAGTTAGAATACTGAGGGGTATTCTCCACTGGGTAGCCTTAATGGAAGACCAGATGAGGAACCTAATAAATAAGTGTCCCATTAGTGATTCCAGAACGCTCTTCA